AGATCATCTTGGTAAGGATGAGATATATTAGGGATAATCTGAGCATCAGAGAAATTTTTAAATGTAGCTCCACCCTGAGAGATGCATATCTTGCAAATCTGACAAAGATACAGGACATCTCATCCTGTACCACAAGGGAACATAGTACAAATGAGAATAACTTCATTAATCTCTGGTATGCAGGGCCATTTTTCTTTAATTAATCCAGATACTGTCCTAGTCACGTAATTTTTTAATCTAATTTTCACTGAAGTAATATATATTTATTTTTAAGGGGTTTAGTCAATTATTTATTAGATTAATATTTAATCAGAGAGTTTCTTGCCTTTGGAAGAAAAAAAACAGGGGAAAATAGCTCCTGATATAAAGTTTGAAATCTTTAAATGGCAATTAAAAGCATTTCCCTAGCTAGTATACAACTATCTAAGAAACTGCAGCTAATTACTACTGTTATGACTCCTGACTGACTAGCAGCTCACTACATAAAATAACTAAGATGTAGTAGAAAAATAACTAATTATTATCAAGTCTGATGGAAAACATTTTTCACATATTGTGAACTATACATTCTTGTAACTGATAATTTTCAGAATAAATGCTTTGGCATAAAAAAAGCCATTCCCAAGCTGTGACTGCAGAACAGAGATACTACTCAGAAGTCGATCTTGAAAATTATCATTTTGCATTCCACAGAATTCCAGAAAATGCCAAAAAAATGCTTGTCTCAGAGAGGCAGAGCTTCTTTCCTCCAAAAGAAGATTTCCTATTACTTAGGAAATAAGATGAATTTTGGTCTTCTCTTGTACTGACAATTTTGTGATATACCCTATAAGGTATACCATAATCCCTTTAGAAGAAAACTTGAAGCAATGATGCAAAAGTTATAGGCACATCTTACAAATGTGATTCTTTCATTTTCTTCTTTGTCTGTTTCAGAGGGAAGTCAGATGGTTAGCTGTGCCTCTTAAAACAATTTTACTTATTTTTCCTGAAAGCAAGCATTTCTCCACATTGGGTCTTTTCCATCTGAATAAGAAAGAAAAATTCAAGAAAGGAAATGACCATCAACTTGACCTACATGCTCACTGTACATGAATATTTAAAAAATATTAATTCCTATTAAAAAAAAGGTCTGATCAGGCCTTACTGGTTTTGGTCTTAACTATTTGCCTCCACAGACTCTATATGGTAAGCATAGTCAGTCATCTGTCTTTCCATGTTTTTAAAAGCAGCTATCACAAATGAAGACTGTACTCAGACCACGTTACAAACATCAGCTCTATCAGACTGGAAATCTGGATGTGAAAACTGTGGCTATATCAAAAAAGATAAACTGTCTGTTCTTTGATGAGGTGAAAAAACATCTGATGCTATGAAGAAAGGAATAAGAAAGGAATTCCAGACCCAAACTGCAATATTTCAATATTTGGAGAAACATCAAACATGGACAAGCTCAAATTAATATTTAAGGAACAACATTTTAGAAAATTAAAAGCATGTAACAGCAGGAAAGCAGGAAGAATTCTGCAACGTCCAGGTATGGTATGTGGCAAAATCTACAGTGAGAACATGGAGAACTTATCTGAAAACTCAGTATATGTCCAAGATGGTTGTATTTGTGAATGATTTACTACATGGCCATGAAGTAATTGTTCAGCATGTCTTGGATAATTGATTTATGACAACACATAAATCCTTGATATATTCAACTGGCAAAAGTACATGTCCTGCTCTCCAGAAATACTTGTACAATAGCCAGAAAAAACCTTGTTAGTGTAATTAAAAGACTGATTATATGGCTTAGACTCCTGTGGCTATTTGATAAAGAACAGTTTAATGTACTTCCCACTCATCTCTTCTTCTCAGTTAGGACACCAGATTTGCAAGAAAAAAATATCTTTTATATTATAAACTTGAAAATCAAAATCTATACATAAGATCTGATAAAAAGCAGACACTAGTGACATTTTTCAGCTACCACCTTAGCACAGTGCACAAAGACTGAAAGCCTTACATTTATTATTATTCTCCAAGGGCTTCAAGAACTCAATACATTACAAGCTTTTTATATCCTCAAAAAATGGCCCTATGTTGGTTGAAAGTCTTAAACAACACAGAGATCAGCCAGCTGAGCACAGATGTGGTACTGGGACCCTCTCTGTCCTGTGCATGTTCTGTTGGAATCAGTTTCAGCATGACTGTGTGATGAAAGGGGATGCAGAGTCACATCTAAAAGCCAGGAGTAGGGAAGACACTGTCACTGTTATTCTAGTCTACAGGATGATGTACTTCCTGGAGACAATGTGAACTTCACAAGTATTATTTATAATATTTATAAATTATCCATTATAACTGCATTGTAATAGCAATATGGTATGGGAAGAGCACTTTAGCAAAACCTTAACTACACCAAATATGAAAATTCATGGTCTTTTCTTACCACTGACAAACTGCAAGCTAAATTATCATAACATTATTGTAGATGGCAGTTGTTAATTTCTGCAGCTCAAGAATTTCAGTAACTATTTATCTTCACATTCCTAAAACATTATTGTGGGTCTCTGGGTTAGAAATTTAAATAAAAGCCCTGACAGTTTGTTTTTTTTTTAAATTATATTCAATAAGTAACTTTTTTACTCCTTAAAAAGTAAGATCTTACGTAATACAACAGTGACAACTGAAAACTGAAGCTTTAATCTAATATGGAGGCAGGGTTGTATCAGCTTTGGAGCATTTTTGTGTTACTGTTCTGAGTAGGTGACAATTATCAGTGCTGCCCTTGTGAAGGTTACTACACTTAGCAGTGGGTAGAGGTGAAAGAGAAGTAATTTTCTTAGTGATCAAACCCTCATCTGCCTCAACACACTCAGACAAAAGAAGGGGCAAGTCACATTATTTGCTATATCAGTTAATATGTGTTGGGATAAACATAAAAAAAAAAATCATTTCTAATCATACTTTCCCCATGTTTGGGGATAGGTGGGTATCTTTACTACTGGCTTTAATACAGGCCTTTCAACAGAATGTTTATGTACTTCTTGGAAGAAGCAGCAATTTGCACAAAGTAAGCAGCAATTTGTACAAAGTAAGTGAAGCCCAACATAATACACTTCTTGACTGTTAACTGACACTGAAAAAATCGCTGTTTTTAACTCTACATTTCCAATTATTTAATACTCACACTCCACAATCAAAGATTAAAAGCGCATACTAAAGATGTTCCTGAAATGCTCTGCTTACCAACATACGCTGAAATTTTTGGAACAATTAAAATGCCTGCATGCAACTCACTAGATGAGTTTGAACAAGTCATTATATTCAACAAGACATTGTATTTCAAAATTCTAGTGAAGCAGAATAAGACAGACACAGCTAACAGGCTGGAGCTTGATGGGAGTACAAGAACCCTGTCAGAGCCAGCACCTTTTGGGAGAAGGAAGGCAGCTGAGCCAGCATTTTATCATTCACCAAACAAAAGGATAGGAAGACTATACAGAAAGCAAAGCAGAAAATGTCATGTCTGATAGGGAGTAGAGCTTCAAAGTCTGCAGTGATATAAAAGAAGTACCAAACAACAGCAGGAGTATTAATGAAACTAACACAGTTTTTAATAAATCCCCCCTGCCAGTTTACCAATGCAAACATGAGCAAGGCAGAAGAATGAAAAAAATACTCTGGTTCATATATGCCATTTCTCCCTCCAGGCACAAAAAACCCTTTCTTATGTGTTGTAATTTTAAGGGAAGTTAAATAGTTAATGTTACTATTAATAAAATTATCAACCCAGATGTCTCAGTTAATTCAGTTTTGAACTAATTTGCACCTACTCTTCCTCTTGCAGGGCACAATAACTGACCCATCTTTTTGCTCAAGTATCAGAAGACTCTCTACTCTGAACCTGATGACTATTCAGGGCACAGACATTTAGTGGAGATAACCCTGGCTGGTGACTTGCGTTAGGAGGAGACTTCTACTGAAATTTCCCTGGAGATCTGCACCTGCTCTTGTTTTTCTGCTGTATTTGGAAAGTCACTACTTATGGCAGAGGAGGTCTATTTTATTCATTCCTATTGTAGCTAATAAATCCAATCCCTGAAAAATTGTTCAAAGTGAGGCATTTAAGAGCACTGCATCAACTGGGCTTCTACCTGGATAAAATAAAATATTTCAGATTTTTATACTTTGAGCTGTCTTGAAGTCATTCTGTGTCTTCTGTTAGTACCCTGGTCACTGCTGTCTATTTGTGATTTTGTTCTCAGTTAGTCAATGATTGTTTCCGATATCACTAACCACCAATAAGACACCCTCTTTCCTCAAAATTTGACAGCCCTGAAATTCAACATGGGATCTGAAGGTCATGTGGAGCTTTTTCTGTTTTGTGTTTTGCAAGTGAATAAAGGCTTCTTCTAGGAGCCAAATGATTTCTCTAGTGACATTGGTGGAACACTGGTGCCATTGGTATGCTTGCATTTTTAAGCAGCTTTGTTTCCATAAAAATAAAAACCAGAGGAATACAAACAAAACTACATTCTCTGCTTTCCTGTTTGTTCTACAGTGGTAACTAGGAATGAAACACAGTATCAGTTTATTTTGAGCATCACTGTTAGAAGGGCTAATTTTTATTATGCTAAGGACATAGAAATGTTAAAAAAGAAGTTTTAATCACATCTTTAAGAGACAAAGAACAACTGCAATTCTGACCTAAGAGAGAATTAGCTATTTAACTACTTTAGGGATGTAATTGAAATTCCAGCTAATTAAAATGAACTTTTCCATTGATTTCCTTTAGCTTTGAGCTGGACCTTTATTAGACCTTTATTAGAAATGTAGACAAACTTTATGCTCTTCTCTCAGAACTCTCTCTCTGTCCCCTTTTTTTGTGACAAAGAACTAATTTGAAGGCACTAGTCTTTAAGACATGAACTAAGAAATTGATTTTTTCCTAAGTGAATCCAGAAAGAAATGTTTTCATCTTGTAATTGACACAAAAAAATACTCACTGATGGATTCTTTGTTGGCTGAATGGAGCAGTATAGCAGTCATTCTCCTCCAGATCTGGCAGTGTCTCCTTGTCCAGTTTCATTGGCTTTCTAGGTAACCATCCTCGAAACCTGCTTATTTGTTTCTCGATCCTGCAGCACATGAGAATTGTGAGCATTTGAGATAGTATTTTTTCATTACATTCCTGAATACTTGCAAAGAACAAATGCTGATAAACTAGGCCACTTAATATTTACAACTAGAAAAGATGCAATGTCTTTTGAATTTTTCAAGGCAGACCAAATTATACATGCTGAAATTGATTATTAATAACCAGCTTTCAGTGGAGGAACCTCTTATTTTGTCTCAGCAGAAAAGCAGTGCTGATGGTACACACTGCTATAAATCTTGTTAGGCCCAGTAAGCTTTTGTCAAATCTCTAAACCTTTGTTTCTCAGCATTTCAGTTAGTTTAAATTTCAGGCTTAACTGACACATTACACTTTGGACATATAAACATTAGAACAGCAGAGACTGTGACGGAGAGCTTTGGCAGCTAAACCTCAGCAAGTTGCATCCCTGCTCTCTGTATGGTTCTTACCTCACAACTGAAGCTATAAAAACCAGGCTAGTTTGTTCATTTGGTTCAATTGTAGTGTCTTGCAATACTACAATCTCTATGAAACCAGAATATTCAGTGTATAGATTAACAGGTGACTGCCACAGATTCTTGCATTTAGAAGGTGAAAGCAAACTAAGATCAAGCTGGAGAAAGAGCAGATTTAACTGCAGGGGTGCTTATGCAAATATGTACAGCGAAATGAAGGGGCGGGGAAGAATCAGAACTGATTGGAGAAGACAATCTAAACCAAATTCAAATCCAAACTAAAGTGTTATAATGAAAAACACATAAAAAAGATGATATATGAATGCACAATGAGGTCTACTCTCTCAGAAGTTCTTAACACCTTCAAGTCCTAATCAGTGATCCCTGCCTGCAAAAATCATAGGCTAAAAATTAAGGACTACGCACATACTTCAGTTACTGGATGAATCTTTGCAGTAGTGGAACTAAAGGGCATGACTTGACATACTTTGAACTTTAAGTTCAGTTCTGGATAAAGCACTGTTCTTTTAATATAAGTCTTTTAGCAGAAGCCAGCACATTAATTCTAAGACTAGCAAATCCTGTGAGCTCTGCACAGTCCTTTTGAGGGAGGGTAATCCATACCCACGCAGCTGAGTGTGTGGGAAATTATGACATAGTTTCATTTAAAATACATATAGTTTTTCCTGGAATATTCAACCTTCTCCTATCAGGTATTCTTACCTTGAATAAGAAAGCTAATGCTTACTTTTAAACATGGACAGATTTCAAAATAGCATTGGGGGGGGGGGCGGATATGTACCATCAAGACTGTCTTGAAGAACTGGAATGTGTATACAAACATAACATAAGACTTATACTAAATTAATCATAAACTCTTCATGGGCAGTGTTTGCACTGGCCCTGCAGTTCAGAGCACAGGAGGAGGTAGTCTGCAAATGCCCGAGTGCAGGCAAGATGTCAGATCCCAGGGCTGTCAAGGGCCTGACCAACTTTAACTCTCCTGTTGCAGCATCCAGACTGACAGCCTTGAGCTAGTCTGTGCAGACACAAGTGTATGACAAGGGAAAAGGAAGTTCTCTAGAGAAATATTCCCTGTCTGCTGGCCTCCGGTTTTTCCTCTGTGAAGACCACAAACTCTGCATTATTGTATATTCAGCAGGCTCAGCGACTCTGGTATGGAAAAGGGAAGAGGAATCAGCCAGAAGAGTTTTCTATAATATCTCGTTCCATGCTTATTTGTTAACTAAAATAATTTGAATTCTCTAAGATATTAATACCCTTGCTAATCTGAAATCCTTTCCCATTCACCCTTCAAGTCAATGTGCACATTTGAGATACACGAGCTGCAGGTTTATCACACCATGCATACATGCAGGAAGGCACAGAGTGCTTTCCCCACTTAAGAGCAATGCATTATTCATGTTGGCTTCTCACTGAGTGTACCCAGAATTCAACTGGTTTGCCATGCTCAAGGCTCAGATTACTTGTCATGCTCAGTGAGCTTGCTGGCAAACAGGTCTGAGAAGGCTGCAAAGCCTTTTTGCAAGGCCCAGAACATACAGTACAGCCATCCCTAGGGAAAAAAAAAACCCCACCCTGACAACCAAACCTATTTATCTTCCTGAAAAAGAAAAATGACCAAATTTTTTAATTGCCTCCCGCTCACTCCATTAGTGACATCAGCCAGAAGCACAGGCTTTGTACTCTACAGGAGCATCTCTCAGAAAAAAGCTGAGAGTGGTGTCAGTGTTAACAAACAGACACACAGTGTTAAAAATCTACTGTGTTTTATCACTTCTTCAAGGCTAATTCATGCCTCACTTTCCTTTACGGAGAAGTTTAGATACTAAGCCAAATAGGGGTATGGTGTTTGGAAAGCAGATCAACCTACACAAGAACAAGAGTGCCTGGAGTGATGGGGCACTGTTAGCCACAGTGAAAGAAGAGAGTGGAAGATCTGATAATATCCTTCTTAAATTCCTTCTCTAAAAACACTTGTTAGCCTCATAAGGCAAAAAACTCATTCTAATTCACAGTGTCTCTAAGACTGAGTCTCTTGTACCTCAATCCTGCCTCTGCTCTCCAAGTCTAGTCTTTATTCAATATCTCTTTCTTAAGATACATATTGTGCTTATCTCACACAAAGGTTTTCTCAAATAATTTCAAATAAACTGTTTTCTCACTAGGAAGTGGGGTAGGGATAGAATATTTTTTTCAAAGGAAAGAGTAAGTTAGGAAAATTTTAAAATCAGGAGTGATTTTCACTTGTGGGTCAGCTTTGATAGAGCTTTATGCTTACTGTAGTGCTAGAAATTTTCTTTGTTTAGTTTTTAACCACAGTGCAGGTACTGTATAGATACCTGATACCCCTCCTTTCCTCTAATATGCATTAGAGAAGTTTTGTCATTTGAAATTTTGAGACCACTAGAATTTTTCATATTAAAAATCCATGTCAGGTTGACAAGTTGCAAGTGACCTGGTCTGGGCTTTGCCTTGTAACAGAAGTCCTCTTCAAAATAAATTTTGCCTGAATGTCAATATAACGTTTGGCTTAGCTCAAAAAAAGGACCCAGACTTCATCTACTTGTAATCTTCACTGAACTAGGAGTAGAGGAAATAGATACTTTTAATGAAGCTGTATATCTGAGTTTCACATAAATGAAAATAAAGCTGAATATGTTTTCCTCTTTTATAGCTTTTCTACCTTAAGTAGGCATTTATAGACCTGAACATAAAAATTGAATTTAGCCAAGTGTTCTCATCACTCAGGAACTAAAATACCAGAAAAAGATCATACCTCTTCCCATATTGACTTCAGGTGGCATCCTGACTCATAAGAAAATTAATGTAAAGCAAAATTTCATACACCACATATAAATGCTAGAATCTTCACCTACTCCCTCCTATCTATTGCTTTAGTCAAAGCAGTCATGTCTTAATTAAAATCAAGACAAATTTCAAAGTTAACAGCTACTATTGTATTTATTGTAGCGTGTGGATGGAAAGTGGGGGAGCATCAACAAGATTTAGAAGAATTGTGTGCGTCTATTAGCCTGTGCCAACTAGGTAAAATGCCTTAACTCCACAAAGTGCCCATTTGGTGCTTACTAATATAAAGAAGCAAATACTATAATGTGAGATCAATGCTGGTACTCTCAAGTCACCAGCACACCAGGATGGAATTTAATATAAAAAAATGCTTTTTAATACACTTATACAGCAGAGTGATAATATGTGATTTATTTTCCCATGGATGTTCATCTACTGACGTTATCTGCAAAGTCATAATGCTGTTTACTCCAAAATGCAGATTTTTCAAATTTAATTCTGCTCTCTCAGAGGTTCATGGGAATATTTCCACTGACCTCAGAGTGACACAGAGCCTTCTGAAAACTGTATCAAGAGCACTGTGGAACTAAATGCCAACATATGATCTGGTCTTTGCCAAGCCTGTGTATTTTTTAGGCTTTTTGGAGACATTTTCATTTAATTGTCCAAGGTATCAAAAATATTTAAAATGCAAACTGCAGAATTGGAAGTTTTTCATTGCATTGTCAGATATAAACCATGCATCAAACATAATCCTGAAAACATTTAATAATTGAGTGAAGGCACTTCAAAGATTCTTGAAAAATACTCATCTCTCAAGCTCAGTAACATTACACCAGAGATGAACTTGGTTCATTGTGTTCCTATCTACTAACAAAGTACTAAGTATCCCCACAGAGCAAGCATTAAATTACTAATGCCATCACTATTATAAGTAAGCAAGGTACATGGAAATGAAAAAAAAGCTGTAACTGTGGTATTTTAACCCAAAGAAACTCCCTAATGAGCTGCATGAAAAGAGATAACAGTGTTTGCGCTAACACACTTGTTCTTCTTTAAAAGACTTCATCAATTGAAAAATATTTCTTTATTCCTAAAAAAGGCAACACTGAGAAAATTAATTACCTCTTTCACATTGAAAGTTCCTTAAAAATGCAATTTCTGTATTTGTTTTTGTAGATGTCCTAGTGTGTAATCATTCCCTCCACCCTTCCATCAAACACAGCTAATACGCTTTTCCTTCCAGCTTAACCTTAACCATTACTTTTGTTATTGTGTCCAACTGAACATAAACTAGACCGGTGTAAGAACTGTACTCACCTATTCATGAACTTGTATCGGCGGTGCAGGTAATAGATTTTTCTCCTGGAAGAACAGCAAAAATGAAGCCAGTCGAGAAGAAAACCCATCGTCAGTTACAGTATGAACTAGCAAGGAAGGAAAGGAGATTGAAGACAGAAGCCTGTAAGAGGTGGAGGAAGAGACTAAAAGAGAGATTAACAGAACTGTGACAGGAAGCCACAGAGACTCTGGTGACATTTGAATTGCTAGGTGGTCATCATTTTCCCACTGTCTTCTTTTCTGCTATTTGTCATATGTGAAGACGGGACCCAAAGATGCTTCTATTTCAAAGAAGTCCATAAACTGTTGCAGGAATTCTATAGGACTGATACAAATATGGATAAATTATCTCACATCCACTAGCGAATAAATAAAGCTGCATTTGGTGAAACACAAGGAGGAAATCATTTAGAAAAGCCAAGAAAGCAGTACCTGATGCTGCAATGTACCGTAACACATGCAGTACCATTAGAGACCAGGGCTTGCTATTGGGCTAACATCCCTTGAAACAGAACATAGACTACACAAGCAAATGAGCATGTGCTCTGCACCCACCCCCAAGTATGCAGCCACTCCCTCTGCCCCTCATACAAGCACAGCTGATTTTTGTTGTCAGTGCAATAAGCTGTGTGGGAGTGCGCATGGGCAATGAGTGGACAAGGGTGCACAAGCAGACACATGCTGACCACAATCTTGGTTTGCTTCCCAACCAGCCCTGCAGGGCAGAGCGGCCCTCTAACCATCCTGTGGAGATGCAGAATGGGGAGTTCACCTCCTGACCCACTCTGCTGCTGGCAGCTCTTGTTCTCCTCATAAATGCCTATACCACCACAGCTGTCAGGATTTGACCCATCACCTTCAGCAGAGGGATCACATCTTCATGAGAGTTAAGAAAATCTGAGGGCTTTTTGGCGTGGGTTTGGGATTGATACCCCTTACTGGAATATCGGGGTGCCTGCCTGAAGTCTGACTACCTCCTCCAGAGCCTGACTTTGTCATCTGCGGAAGGTCAGCGCTAAATCAAGGTGGTTTCTGTGTATTCTGAGAGGTTCCACTGTGTAACACTGAATTGTACCACTTCTGAAAAATGCAGGGCTCGCACCACGCATATTCTGAATATTTGTGTATATTAAATGTACTGTAGGAATGCTGTTAGTGCCTTGGAAGCAAGCATGGTTGGGAGATTTCTAAAATAAGACAGCACTGATGCTTTATAAACTATAGAAAAAAAAAATGGTTAGTATTCCAAGTTAATTTTCAGGACTTAGAATTTAAGTAATGCATAATATTTTGACATTAATTTTTATATCAGTGCCCATATTGTGCTAATGAAGTGAAATTTTTCGAACAATTTCATGTTGGCCAGCCTCCTTTGGCCAACTCCTACACAAGATAGCATTATTTACCTTGCTCGACTCAGCAGGAGAAGGGTCAAAGCTAAGTGCTTCTGAATTTTGCTTCCAATATTAGAGTTATCTACTGTTTTGGCATGTCTGCTTTGAAACAGCAAGGATTTTATTCACTGATGCATGGACCTTGGATACTTCCAACCTGAAATATCATAAGCTGTAAGCAATCAGCCACCCTTAAAACAAGGGGTTAAACAAGGGCACCTGGAAACAGGCAGTCTAGACTAGTGGACATTTTGTAAAATGCTGGTCCTTGGTTTTAAATGGTAAACACTACTGTTGCTCTTAAAATTTTAGACCCTGCCCAGAATACATTAGTAAATCACCATGATTCCCTCTTAACAATACTGTAATAATTCTCTCTCTTTGGATGTGGAAAGAATGAAGTTGTGGTCCTTAAGTAGGTCAAGAAACCTTTAGTATTTTCAACGTTTTCTACATAACCTGTATGGCAATTACTTTGCTATCTGCCAAAAGACACATTTCAAAAAAGAGACTTCAGATCAGGAAATAACAAGCTCCTCACAGTGACTAAAATCTGTGTTCCTGGTGTATGTAATCATGAGACCTTGTCCTCTACTAGGGTAGGTTCATCCCAAGGAATGCCACAGAAGTCAAAGAAGGTACACTTTTGGCCTAGCTCACTGTCTGTATGGTTAGAACACGTTATTGAAAGAATATTCATATCTTGCAATGACTTGTGATAGCTTTTATATTTTTCTCTTTATCACTAAAATCACAGGTAAGAACAGTTGAAGATTTGCCTTGAAAATGAAAACCTAAATACATACAGAATAAGATTGCAATTTTGTCCTTAATTCACATCAGTTTTTCCTAGCAAGTTACAGCTTGTATTTCCTACTGTTACAGCTTGTCTTATACTGGAGACATTTTTCATCCTTAAGTGAAGTGAGAAGAAAACAGAAGAAATCCTGCAAAGGACACCAACTCACTAGCTGCATATTCTGGGTCTGATCCTTTTCTTGCTCAGGAGTAATTCCATTAAAATCAATGGAGTTACACATCTATAAACTCTGCTAATTGAAAGAAGAATCAAGACCTCTCAGTTCATGGGTTTTGGTCAGTTCCAGTGGAAGTCTTTATGCTATTTTAACACTTCTGATAACCAGTAGAGTAAAATCAATATGCTACATAGAAAATTTCATAGCCCAACATGCAAATAATATCAAATAAATTATAAAAATAATCTGAATGACCATGTGGAATGAATTTGGTTATCAGTAGCATTTAATGTAAATTCTTTATTTTCTCCACAGAAAAAAACATTTATAGTCTGAATTGTTCTCCTGTTTGATGGGATACTTATTTATAATCTGTATTTCAATAATTACACACTATACAAGTAATGTACAGGTGCTGAACATACCAGATACGTCCAGCAGACATGCACCTTCTGTGCTGCCTTACGTACCTGGATCTTCTTGACCTCCCATTGATTTCAATGAAATGTCCATTTAAAAAACAGCAGCGCACAAGTATGCACGGGGCTCCAGCATTGAAGGGGCTAAAGGGCCTAAGGATAGAATACCCCATGAAAACAGCTGCACTGCTACAGCTCACCTTAATTTCAAACCAGTATAGTACCGCAATAGCAGGCATTAACAAGAAAGAGCAATGAATACGGCATCTAAGTACTCCATTTATATTTTCTAAAGATGCGGTTCTTATAGAAGAGCTCTTCTATGTGCATTTTGGTGTTATTACATTAGTTTTACAGTATAGTGTGACTTTGGAGGTTAAGACAAAATACAACTACACCTACCTGAAAGGCATTCTTACATTCATTAGTTCAGCATATTTGCCCAGGACCTCCCAAGGGGCATGCAACTTCACAAAGATGATGTCACTGTTTGTTAGAGATGACTGAAAAAGAAAAACAAAACAGCCACCACGGCTTACTTTTTCAAGTAAAAAAGAAAGAATCCATGGTCAGTGGTGAATACCTGGTTTTCTGGTCCTCTGTCACCCCTCCCACTTTCTCATTCTTCCTCAAGCACATGTAGTTCTAGAAGTATTTTGGCAACTCCTTTTCCTTCTGGTTTCCTGAAAGCCATGCTGTGACTCCTTTCTGGTCTGCATGTGCATTTCCTTTGCGTGGAAAAGAGGACTTGGAAGGGAGGCTGACATGGAGTTGTGGGCTATCCAAGTGTGGGGTGGAAATAAGGTTGGTGAGTAAATCTGGGTCTGGAAGTTTGGTCCTGAACTTCAATCAAAACTAAAGTGGCAAGTCAGGAACTGATTTTGCCAATTGACCTGGTTTTCTGCACTCACACAGAAGTGGAAATGTGTGGAGACACATCTAGCAGTCAAGAAAAGTTTGCATGACAGTGTGGTCTTACCACTGTTGCCCTACATGCACAAATAATGAAGTTCCAGCTACAGAGCCATGGTCCCCACCTTCCCTTACTCCAGCTTCCTGCTTGGTCACATGAATTCTGAATATTAGAACTAAAGCCAGCAGGAAAAAGGAAATCTGATGCCACCCACAACATAATATTGTACAGATTTGTGGCCCAGGAACATTGAGGGCCATGATTATGCCAGCAAGATCTCTTCACAGTGCTACCATCTTCTTTTCTATGGGTTGTATGTAGCATGAAGAGAGCTTTATGTAGGGTATGCACACCAGAACACCTGTTACCTAACAGAAGGCTCTCTGGCAAAGAACGGAGAAATGCAGTAAAGAGAAGAAGGGGAGAAATTCAGCTCTGCACTCAGGAGGAAAAACAGTGCTTTACAAGAAAGCTACAGCAGGGTCAGCTGAAGATGACATGAGAACATAGACAGCCACATGTTAATACTGGAAAATAAACTGTTCAGATTATAATGAAAATAAATGAAATTCTCATAAAATTGCATACAATACAGCTTTAGACAACTGAATGGATCCCATTAACAGTGCCAACTACTACAGGCTGAGCTTGAGGAATACCCAGGAAATGGGTAAGGTATACAGGGTATGAGAAAAGGAAAGTGTGAAGACTGAGAAAACCAGGCAAGAAATTTGTTAGTTAACTGTAGCGATGATTCATAGCTTTTTAGACATTGTACTGTATTCAATGTTCTTGATTAACACAACTTACTAGGAGTTCTTAAATATTCCAGTTGTTCATCTGGAATCTACAGTGATTATATGGGTGGGAGGCTGACATTTATACTTTTGATGCCTATTTGATTCTTCCCACCACTATTCTGACAGATGCTGAAATCACTGAAACGGCTATAGAGTGTTCATGTCCTTAGAGTAGCTAAAACATTATTACTAGCTTGTGACGTGATAGAAATGAAAGCTCCAACAGTTAAGATACATATGTATGATTTTCTTTAGCTCACAGGAAAAAAAAAAGAAAAAACCCCAACCGTCACTACAGAGTTAACACTTTATTAAACAAACAGAATATTGGAATCCTCAGCAATGGACACATAAAAATATTTGTATCCAAAGTACTATTGGGCTGCATGAAAAAAACGGGTTTGAGTGCGTAATTGAACAAGTGACTTTCTGGTACTAAAAACTGAAGAAAAAACCCCTTGCTGTTCTTTCACTGATGACTTTCTGAAAAAATATTTCAACATGAAATGATACAATAGCAACAAGATGCCCCCAAGAGACTTGTTTCAGACAGTGAATTCAGTTGTACTCTTTTCATTGACTTTTATGGATTCTGTATCAGGCCTCAATGTTTTTCTTTATAGGTACATTTCACAAATTATCATTTATTTTCCCATGAGACTTTAGCAAGTAATACCACAAAACCAAGACTAGATTCTGCTATGCTGAAAATTTCCTGCAAACTACTCTCTCAAAAATGAGGGTAAGCCAGCAGTGGACTGGCAATTTTGTCATAAACAGCTCAGATTAAAAAAAAAAAAACAACAAACAAAAAAAACCCCCATCAAAATTCAAAAGAACTGTCTAATAAACCAAATATAAAGAAGGAAACTCTGGTACTGTCACACCAATAAAATCTGTAAAATGCAGGAAATGTATTAGAAACAGCTTGTTAATTTAGTGATGGCTGTTAAACATGAAGCTTACAAACATTTTCCAGCGCACTGTAGTTTAATACATACTACATATAGCAGCCACAGTAACATGACTTGTGGAGATGTTGTTTCACAAGTGAACACTATCTCCATGCAAATTTAATTTCTTATGTGTTACATATTTTCACACAGAAACACGAAAAACTTCCATATAGTTGTCACAAATATAAATACAGATGTTTAAAGAATATTTTTTACTCAGTACCTTGTAATGTTACTTTATCAGCTTTGTGAACAAAAGATCTAATTAAAACACCTTTGTGAGGTTCAGTTATTTTCAGAAGAAAGAGATAATCATTCTAAATTGTTAATATGGAAATCCATTTCTCTTGGGTTTGCTCATATTAAGTGTTTGTAAAGGAAAGCGATAAGAAAGCCTGAGAAAAACAAGATTGGAAAGAGAAAAACAAATCCAGATGGAGGAGTAATTGAATGAAATGTCACATTCACTTAATCTAAGGAGAAAACAGGTAATCAAAATACCCTAAAAAAATATCATGAGCACCATCCTAGTTAGAAAATACTTCAGCAGATGGAATTTGCTAAACTCTCTCTGTTAGGTTAGTATTTAGACACAGTATCCTTCAGCTTCTAAATGTTTCATTGAGAGGAGAGGAGCATTCTTCTGTTGTAACTGACTTTCAAGGACTGGCACCTTAAATGGTTTGAAGAAGTAAACTCAATATATTATGGGAACATGCAAACAAAAATCAATGTAACATTGGTCCCCTTGGAAATTTAAATAAAATTACTATTGACATGAGCAATTTGCTAGAAAGTGATGTCTAGATTATGAAGAAAGAAAACCAGAGGAATCAATGGGACAGCAATGAGAAAACACAAAAATGGAGTGTTTGGAATTGACCTGTGGCACCAGTGCCTACAGAGTTATCATTGTATGATAATTGTGAGGCCCCTAACATTCAAATAAATTGTTTGTTTCAAACTGATTTCTTGAGGAGGAACATCCATAGCAAAACTAATTTTCTTCTGGTCAGTAATAACTTTCTTACTGGTCTTCAGAGAAGTGCAAACCCAGTGTGACAAGAGACAGAACCAGAGAATTGCAGACTAATTTAGGTTGGAAAGGACCTGTAGGGGTCATCTGGGCTAACTCTCTAGATAAAGCAGGGCCAAAATAGATCAGGTTGCTCAGGGGCTTGTTCCACTGAGTCCTGAATATCTCCTAGGCAGAGATTTCACAGCCTCTGGTCAATCCACTTACTGAAACTGGCTGAAAAAAATAATATTTCCCATGGAAGAACTGTACTTCAGAGAAATGTTGGTTGAAAACTACAAGTTTCTAGACATGAAAATTCATGAACATTCAAAAGTGCAAAGATGGCATTCTTTATAAAACAATTTATTTCTTACAGGAACTTTAAAAAAAATTATTATTCTGATTGAGAAGCAATAGCAAGGTGTATTTAGTTTAATGAAACCCTGATTTTCAAAACAGGTTTGTATGGTAGAATTCACATCACCAGAGCCTGGGTTACAGACCATCAACATAAAATGCGTTTCTATGTTCAGTGCCATTAATCTACTATTTTTCACAAGCTGTAATTTTCCCCTCCTCCTTCTTTCTACTCCCCAACCCCCTTTTACAGCTGGAAATCATATTCCATAATTCCTGAGAATACCAGACCAGTATTTGATAATCACAAGTTCCTATAGGCCATATCTCTGTATCACAGGTACTCACTGCACGTATCAGAGATCTCATGCACAAATACAGGCTGGGCGAAGAGTGGATTGAGAGCAGCCCTGTGGAGAAGAACTTGAGAGTAGCAGTGTATGGAAAACTGACTATGAGCCAGCAATGTGCTCTCACAGCCCAGAATGCCAACCATGTCCTGGGCTGCATCAAGAGAAGTGTAACCAGCAGGTCAAGAGAGGTGATTCTCCCCCTCTGCTCTGTTCTTGTGAGATCCCACCTGCAGTGCTGTGTTCAGCTCTGGGGCCCTCAATATAAGAAAGACATGGACAGGCTCAAGCTGGTCCAGATGAGGTCCACAAAGATGATCAGGGGGCTGGAGCACCTCCCTTATGAGGACAGCCTGAGAGTTGGGGTTGCCCAGCCTAGAGAAGTGAAGGCTCTAGGGAGACCTTATAGCGGCCTTCCAGTAATTAAAGGGGGCCTACAGTAAAGATGGGGAGGGACTCTTTATCAGGGTGTGTAGGGATAGGATGAGAGGTAACAGTTTTAAAATGAAAGAGGGTAGATTTTGATTAGCTATAAGAAGAAATTCTTTACTGTGAGGGTGGTGAGACACTGGAACAGGTTGCCCAGGGAAGTTGTGGATACCCCCTGCCTGTAAGTGTTCAAGGCCAAATTGAACCGGGCTCTGAGCAACCTGGTCTAGTGGAAAGTGTCCCTGCCCATGGCAGGGGGGTTGGAACTAGGTGATCTTTAAGGTCCCTTCCAGCCCAAACCATTCTATGATTAATTACCAACCTTTCTGGCTTCACTGACAAATCACTTCAGTACCTTATCATTGCTGCCAATACTTGAATACAGGTAGTACCACACACCCACATCTTGTAGACTTGCCCTTCTGACAAGATGACGTTTCTCTTTTACCATTAAGTTTTTACAGACATTGCATTTCCTAAAGAAAAGAAATCAACCATAAATATGTTTAAAAAACAAAGCTCCATATTATTCTCCAGTATCACTACATAAGGAGTGGAAAAGACTAAAGTAGGGGCCATTTCCATAACTCCAAAAGCATAAATATCTGCTTTGGTGAGTTAGTCATCAGCTAGGTCAAGGAAAACTTGTAAAGGGCAGGTTCTCATTCTCCTTCTGAAAG